AAGAAAAAGAAAAAAGAAAAAAGAAAAAGAACACATCATACTATAATGAAAAACTTGATAGAATTCAATGGTGTGAAGCTTAAAGTTTTTTATTAAAGGTAGAACTCCTTGAAGAATTTAAATATTTAATTGTAATATATTATATTAATATATATATATATATATATATATATATATATATATATATATATATATATATTATAAATTAATTGATTTAAAATATGGTTTTTTTTTTCGCTACACAGTTCTAACCATGTTTCAAAAATGGAAGCTAAAAGTCCAATTTAAGACAAGGGGTGTTTGCGTGTTCATTATGGCTGCGTGTTCATTATGGCTGTCTGGTTGAATTGGATTTCTCTGTATCCTTGAAACGTGAATTATGATTTTAGCTGTGTCTTTAAAACCCAGTAATTTTAAAAGCTACCCTAAAATTCGCTTGAGGATGAAATGGAACTAATGTCTTTAATTTAATTACAAAAATTAAATTCGAGCTTTCAGCTTCCATTTTTGAAACATGGTTAGAATTTGTGTAGCGAAATAACATATTTTAAATCAATTAATTTATAATATTAATGCTCTGTAAATTTACATTGAGCACTATTTTGTAAAAATAAAAATATCTATAAGAACACCGGATTATATATCTTACTGTTCTGTCTTTATATATATATATATATATATATATATATATATATATATATATATATATATATTATATTATATTTATATAAATTTAAATGTTTTGTTAAATGTTTTGAAACAGGACCCCGTCTTACCGAAAATCTGCTCTGAATCGTGGAATTAAAAAAATCAATAAAACCAAATTTGTTATAACTGATCTATACGCCGAGATATTAGTGTTTAGTATTTACTAATTGCACATGCAGAATTTTCGAAAGGTTTATCTTGAGTCCTATTTCTTAGAATACTTGCTAGATGATGTTGATTTTCTGTTCAATATCTTTGTAATAATTAGTAGAAGTTTGTCATAGTAAATTGATATTGTTATTGATTCAAATATTATCAGATTTATGACTCACATTATTACAGTCGAACTAATGTCCTCAATTTTGTTATGGTCACAACGTTTCGACCATTGTGTCCTCCGGACATCTTCAGGTGTTCGTGGATTCGGTAACATTCAGGCATAAAATAAAAAGTTATATAAATATATGTACCTCCAAAAATTTTCTTAAAAAGTGCATATCATGATGAAAAACAGCTCCAAACTTGATAAAAAAAAGTTTTATCGTCAAAATGTTTATGTTATTATTAAGAGGAAAGGCCAAAGTATATTTTAATTATTTATTCTATTAATTTTTTAATCCTCGTTCGAAATTTCGGTTAAAAATCTTGTTTTTCTTCCGTCAGTGGATGAGCCAAAAATTTGTATTGGAAATTTTAACGTCTTTTTTTGGTGTTAAAAACACATTGTTTTGGAAATTATTGCAAAAATCAAATAATTGTCGGATTTTAATTAAGTTTTGGGGGCTTATTCACAAATTAAGGAAATTATGTTGGAAGTATGTTTTAAAAAAAAAAAACCTTGGTAAAAATATATATATACTTTTTTTTACATCTGTTACCCCCACTTAACTTAATTTTATGAAATTTAGAGAAATTAAATTTTCAGCCTCTTCATATTTATATTAATTAAAAGCAGGACTCCTTAAAGAATTTAAATTATCAATTCCTTTTTGTCAAACAGAAACACTATTTACCGAAAATCTGCTCTGAATTGTAAAATAAAAAAATGTAATAAAACCGTGGCATTATTTAATTAGAAAGGCTTTTAATTGCTTTTATGAATAATATATAATAAGGACATTATTGTTTTAATAAAACCTTTTTTTTCGGTGAATAATGAATTTTTACGAGAATTGTTTTCATTATTTTAAAATTTTAATTTGAAAAATTTATTAAGTTTTAAATCGTTAACAGAAAACAACTATAATAATTTAAAAACAAAATTTCTAAAATTCAATAAAACATTATTTTCCTAAAGATTTAAGATTACTGAGTACTTAAAATTTAAATTAAAAAAGCGCTAATGTCATTTTTTTTTCAATTATGTTTTACAGATAAAGTCTCCGTAGAACAATATTAGATCTGTCATCACGCTTGTCAGGACGTCAACAAAATTAGTGTTAAAAAATGCATTTCTGCGATATTTTAAACTTAAAACTTAAAACTTTTTACATAACATGGATTCGTCCAAAGTATACTTATACTGACAGAGAGAATACCTGATGTTAAGATACGTTAGGACGCAGTCTCTGACCGTGTGCGACGTCTGTCGAACACTCTGCTTTGGCAGTGAGGAACCCAGACGAGGCTTAAATATTGAGATACATTGAGACAGGTTGAGAGACACAGGGTGTTCTCAGGTATATATATATATATATATATATATATATATATATATATATATATATATATATATATTCTACTAACCCGCATTCCTGGACTACTAATCTTCACTTCAAGTCTGTATTCTTAC